TAGGAATACAAACCCTTCAAACTATTGTGTACCTTCAAACAGTGCTGATGTTGAGGAAATACCCTGTAAATATACATAACACTTTTTTCTGTAATTATAGAGGCTGGCCTATGCAACTTCTTGTATGCTCTAATTGTACCTTATAACAATCTAAATACACACAGCTATAGTGCACTCTTCAATCTGACCTGAAGTGAACCTTTAACCAATCCGTTTTTTTCACAACAGTGTTTGCTAATATTTTTTTCTCATCTTTAGGTGGTAGTAAAAGATAGGCTGGGAACTTTTCCTATCCTGATAGGCTGGTAATCTCAACTGCAGTCAAGGGAGGGAAACTTTTCCATTAACTTTTACAGACCAAGATCTGAGTCACATATTCTGTGAGAAAAATGCAATTCTCAGCTCAGTGACAGATAATGTTATGCACATATATTTAAACAAGGTGGTCTTTAATTAGATCAAGTCTAAAAATATGCATTTAATACCTACTAATTTAAAATCACACTTGGGAGAAAGTGTTGCCATCTCTCTATGGGACTACCAGGGTCAGGAAATGAAGCTCCCTTCTCCCTTTAGGATTCTCCAACACCAGCTGAATTCTGCAACTCTCTCTGTGAGGAGAAAGCCATTCTGCAAATGACCAAATTCTTGCTTTTGACATGACAAGCAGGTTTCACCCCACCGTTTGAGTTCCCTCCCACAGCAGCATGAGGAATTTCTGCCTTCTCAGATATGCAGGTGGCATGGTGGTCAGGGAGAAACATGACCATGCTGTGGGATCCCTGGCAGCACACACCCTCAGGCCATGGGTGTCTCCCATGCTGGCAGCATCCATGGCTGGTAGTACACACATGAGTCATGCCACCTGTAGAGAGCAGGACAGGTAGAAAACCAGCCTGCCCAACTCATCTGGTCACTGCATCTTATCTACATTGTGCTCTGCCCATCTGGGTACAAATCCAGATCAAGTCTCCAGTTAGACACCTTGAGTTAAGAATGAAAATATCTCCATTAAAACGAAAAGGAGCTTGCCTGGAAATGCAGCTGATGCCAAGCTGAGGTTCTGCCCCTGTATGCTTATTTATGAGGTTTGGACTGATTTTTTTAATGCTTTGAGTTTCTTTTTGTAACAGGAACTGGAATACTGAGTGGGGCTGAGCCTAAGGCACAATTCTGCCTAATGGGGAATTACCTGATTTTATCCAGTTTATCTCCATTGTAAGCCCTGGGAGTTACATGACAAATTTGTGTCTGTATCTGAAACTACTCTTTCTTCTACTTAGCCCTCTCTATTGTAGGAAACGTTACCTATCCTGCTTCTTATAATGAACAAATAATGTATGGTTGTACTCTGGATTATTCAATCCATTTGGAGGGATATACTAGTACTAAACACATGTGAAGGACCTCTATATAACTTTAATTTGTCAGCATCTCTTTCTTCTACACCTACTTTCTGGTACAGTATTTAGAGATATTAGTAAGCAGGCAATGCAGGGTAAGCTATGTTTTGCTTGTTATGCCATTCTAATACTATGTGTTGAAACATTTGCTATGTAAAAATTTTGAATTTCAAAACTGTTAAGTTCAATAATTCCCATTTCCACTACAAAGTCTACAGTAGATGAAGGTATGTTCAGGAAAAAGAGCACTTTCACATTCACATTAAAGCACAGAACTGTTAAAGATCAAAGTAGGCCTGACCATTTCAATTTCTTTTTGGTGGAATTAGAAAATTAACATGTGAAGAATAGAATGTAAATGATGTGTAAGTTATGTCACAGGGTATCTTAGAAAATACTGGTTTTGTAACTGAATCAAACAGGGAAATGAATACTTGTTACTTGGATTTTTCAGAGAATCTTACTGTTGGTTAGAAAGGGAAAAGTAAATACCAGAGTAATTCAGGCAATTGCAGCAAGTTGTTTAGTCAGGTGCAGCAGAGACCATTGTTAGAACTTGTTTTACAAGCATTTAACATTTTCATTAATAATCTGAGAGGGTTCACAGCACGCTAATTAAATGAATAGATAATTCTAAATTAAAAGAAGTCACAAAGCATCAATGAGGAGTTAGACAAACGTAACAGGATTGAAAAGGTTGGAAAAGTAAGGACAAAATTACATTCAAACTTGGAAATGTGCGGTCAGAGGTATTTTAATAACAACTTCCCTATACAGGAGAGAGTTGTGTAAGAAACAAGCAAAGCAACAGCACTGAAGGAATAAGTGAACTGAACATTGGTTGACATGTGATGCTGAAGCTGCAAAGCCTACTTTGATTCTGGCTGCCTGTGAAGAAGTCTGTCCCTTGGAGAGCTCACAGCAACTTTTAGGAGCTCGAGGATGGAAGGAATCTCAAGCATTCATTTATAAGGAAAAATTTAAGTGGGTTGCATTCAAGATCAGGCAAGTGGCAAGTGAGTTTGTGCTTAAAAAAATACATGCATTTGAAGAATATAAAGACCAGAAGAAAACTAAGTCTGGAAATTTGCATTTGGTAGAAAGTCTTCAGTGAAGAAAAGAACTAACATGATCTGGGGTACTTAACACTTCAGTTCAGTATATCACTAGACAAGGTACTATAAAGAAATTTCTATCAGGCACAAAGATTAATGCAGTGTATCTTTTCCATCTCCTATGTATTCTCTATGATTTCATCTAACAGTTAAGTCAGTAACTTCTAATTAACATCAGTTGAGCTTATTCCTAAATCTCACTGAAGTAAGATACAATGCTGCAGTGAAATTTAAGCACACTGTAATATGAAATCAATGCATTTCTAGTGCTTGCAGTTTTCCTGCTTTCACTGCAAGACTGCAGCTTTACAGATGGTCCAACAATCCACTGCAGCAGTAAGTGGCATTTTCTGTTCGTTTTTAAACGCTGAAAATATCATTCACTTGTGCACTAATCCCAATATTTTATGGCACATCTCTTTCATTTTTTTCAGTTGATCCATTATACATTATCTCTCACAACTTTACCACAAAGGACATACAGCAGTACTTGGGTGAAATCCTAGCAATTTATGGACCTCAGTTCCAATTTAAAAAGGAAGAGAGGTAAATTCCAACACCTGAATTTGCTGTCAGCTCAGACAGAGACAGGCCCTTTGCTATGTCCTGTTCCTTGTGCTCTGTTGTCACTGCTTTGTGTGCTCCAGAAGGGGAATGCTGGTCAGATGACACAGGATGAAAGACTGGGAAATGTGGGGTGGGTTTAGGGCTGGCTGGTTTAGGGCTAGAAGAGCAAAAAAGAAATGGGTAAAAATTTAAGAATGAGGTATTATTTCTAAGCAATCCTGCAAGAGATGAAAGTTAAGTGATTCTCTAAAGCTCCATGAGTCAAAAGATCCCACTGACTTCAGTGGGATCCTTTAGTCACTAAGGATATAGTCCTGAGGCCATAATTTCTCTTTAGGATCACTTCTCCAACTGGGCACAAGTGCTAATTAATGGACTATCAGAATTGTCATATTTCTAGTACCTCCTTTGAGTCTCTCTAGGAACATTTCCCGTTGGCACAGGGTGCTGCAGGGAAACAGCTCTTACTACTTTAAGTTGTCTCTCAGCTGGTTTGGAGTACTGTGAGATGCTGTTGCAGAACTGGGATTTGCAGAAGCCACACATGAGTAATATTCATATGGCCACAAGAGCTGAGAGGGAAGTTGAAGCGTATGTTCCTCACTGATCCTCTGTACCGCTATGCTGGGGGTGTCACTGGGCAGCAGCCTAGGCCCAACTTCATAACAAAACCTGTCTCACCAGAGTGGCAGAAAAGTGTAACTTTCTCCTTCACAATTCACAGCTAAACCACAGTTTGTTACACAGCTTTCAACATATGAGCATCCATGGGTAGGAAACATGCTGCAGATTCTAGCTGCACCTTCTTTTTTTTATCGGACAGTAACTACTACATACACCCTTTCTACACTACATATCAATCAAGCACATGTCACACCTTCAGGGACCTCAGGAGGTCTGAGTACAGACATAAGTTTACACATCTCAGTGCCCCATGCATGAGGCAACAAGGCCAGGCCAGAACTATAGAGGGCTTTTATGATCTGACATTAATTAATTTGTTACAGTGCTCTTGAATACAATATTTTTGTTTCCCTTCTTTCCTTTAATTAAATTCCATTAAAAAAGTGTTACCCTTTGATTATATTCTCAACCACAACTGACTCAGCATACTTCATGTGTTGAGGTGGGAAGTACCTAATTAGGATGTTAATATTCTTTCATGTTATTTTTTTTATAATAGAAGCAGTACTTCCAGTTGTGTTGCAGAGGTATGACTAAATGTATTAGATGAATAGAAATCCTCCTTACACCATTAGTCATTACCTTTCAAACCATCTCATCTCATCTCACAGAGTGGCCTCTTTGCAACTTTTCGAAGAAGAAATCAAGGGACAGGTTCTCCAAGGCATTCAAGCAGAGGAGCAAGGGTATCCATGCCACTACATTCAGAGTTTGTGCACCTCACAAATTCAGTAAACTTGCTCTGCATGTTCATCCACACATCAGAAGTAGTGAGCTGTACTTTTTGACAATAAATACCTAAAATTAGCTGCCACAGGGATTCTGGGTTGCGACAAGAATACAGGCGGCTGGTTTAAGAGATTATTTAATGTTACTATTAATGAGCTCATTTGAAACAAGTTCTCCATTACTAATTATCACTTGGTTCTGACTGATTCATCACCTGCTTTGATGATCCTATTTCATAAGCACAAGATGAACTGCTGGGTTTAAGAAACTGCATAATTTGCAGATTTTGGTAAAAACAGAACTGCCTTGATACTGTGTCAGTTGCTGCCAGACTGATTTTTTTTCTTTATTCCCTGAGTGTGTGTGCACATATACTCATGTGTGACACGTAACTACTGTGTACTTGTGTACAGAATGCCTCTATAATACTTTAATAGAGACGGTATTAACGTCTAGCTCATACATATACACATTACACTGGAGAAATAAGAATTTTCCTTACCTATTTCAGTCATGGATATCCCCGGAGCTAATTGCCCATTGTTGAAAGAGCTATAGGTAAACAAGTTTGGTACAGAGGTGAGGTCATAGATTGGTTCCTGCTTTATCTGTTTGATTCCAGTCATGTCTAATCCAGACTGGTCTGGGGAAGGCTGGGCAGAATCCACATTATAATAACCCTCAGACTTCGGCAGGTCAATGACGTGCCCATTTGAGTAGGTGCTGCTGGTTTCATTATTCAGGTTGCTCAAGCCATTGCTGATGCTGTTGCTGTAAACCCTGGCTAGGGCTTCTGCCTCACCGCTCTGCTGCTGTCGTTGTTCCTGCAGTCGCTGCTGGTGCTTCTGCACTTCAGCGTACAAGCTATCCCTCTGCTTTTTGGACATTCTTCCAAACTTCACAGCTGAAAAGCAAAGCACAAGGTGAACCACTGTTGTCTCATTTTTTCTTGATTCCCCTCAACCCCACCACTCTCTTGATATTTAGTCTCAGTGTTACTTTTGCTGTGGAAATATCTTTTTCTGTGGAAATGAGATAGGATGCAAAGCTCTACACCATATGTGTCTCACAAAGGAAAAGGTATTGTGTGTTTGGATTTACAAGGTGATGACAATGACTCCTGTTTGACAGGAAGGCCTCAGCCAAGCAACTCACTTCCCACTGTGAATGTTAAAAAGACCAAGAATCCTTTTATACCTCTGTGTTCACTGAACAACAACCCAGTATGAAATGTACAGTCTGTAGATTCATATTCCGTGTGATTTACCAACTTTCCACAAACCTTTAAACAGTGCACTAATAGGATTAGTACTCTGGATGAAAACAAGCCCTAAAGCCTTATTATCACATCATTTCAATGGGGTGTTATCTTCACACTTTTTTTAAAAAAAAACCTTACAGGTTAGAGATAGAACCTAGAGGAAAATAACAGATTTGAAGGTAAACAGCATAAATGAATGTCATCTTTACCACAGAGTAAAGTCTCAGGGATTTACACAATCAATTTACATAACCTTCGTGGACAAATCCATGAATTCCTTCTGATGAGGAAGGGAGGAAAACATCAGAGTGCAAACCACTCTCCCCAGGAACAGGGTTTATTACACTGACATTGAAATTTTCAAAAATGACAGGCTGATTGCTGTGTAACTAGGAGGAGTAAATCCACAGCCTGCATATACAGTGGGTCATAGCTGACTATCTTTCCCCACCCCCTGCCACCCCATCTCTCTATAAATTCTGGCTTTCTACTGGGCTAGATCTGGGATCTCAGAGCAGAGATAGCTGTGAATTGTGCTCTAAAACAAATGAGGGATGTTTTCAGCAGAATTTATCAGAGTACAGATAAGAGGACATTGCTCTGGAAATACTAATTTCTACACATTATGAAGTGTATTTTCCAATGCTGAGTATTTCCAGTCAATCAGTAATTGGGATCAATTCAGAATCATCACATTATTTGCACAGATTGGGCTTGGCTCTCATTTTTGCTACCCCACAGTTCAGATAAAGCTCTTGAAAAGAGTCTGAGCCTACATATGTGGATGAATGTGAAAATCTTTAGTCTGGAAAAAGAACGGAAAAGGAAGAGTGTAATATGAAAAGGCAGTGCCAGAATAACAGAGAGATGGAAGTCTCTTCAATTTATTTGCACTTTTTTACACTGAGTTGTTTTTTTCCTTGTTGCCAACTTCATCTTACTTGCAGCCCTTCACACAAGCTACATCACACGAACAGTTTGCCCTAGAATCAGTCCACAATGCACTGTACACCCTTACAGACAATATACAATGACTGTATTTTGAAAAATGCAACCGTGTATTTTCTTCAAATTTAGGGCCTCAGTAATAAAAACAAACACCCACTGTTAATTCTCATTATATATTCATTAATTGGATTCTCCAGCTGCTGTCAATTAGCATCCTGCCTCTGCATGATAAAAATGAATCTGTTACATGGCTGAGAGGTAAAAATCACATTCAATTTCTCTGTTAAAAAAATCCATACAGCCTATTTTAAACTTGCAGGAGCTCTTAATATTGTTAAGTATAAACACCCTTACACAAACAATGAGAGAAGAAAGTAATGCTGTCAGAAGAATCACTCCCTTTTCTGTGTGCAGTGGTCCCTGAATTACAGGTTGGGAAGAAAGTGCTGTCAGTCACATTAAAATGCCCCTGTGATACCTCAAATCATTGGAAGATATTACTTTTAGGAGGAAAACACATGCTGTTAAATTACTAAGATGTTACTACTTTAATCTCCTCTGGGAAGAATCAGGAGATAAGGCATGAAGCAAGCTGCATGGTAGGACCTAAAAGAGTTCACAGATTAAAGGCTAGACTGCAAGGCCCCTCCCAGACTAGTGAGCAAGTTGTTTCAGTGAGACATAAGACAAACTGAGTAGGAAAAGACCTATTACAGTTCAAATATAAACCAAATTTATAATCTGTGGGCCATCTAAAGAAATAGCTCTTTAAGTAACTTCTCCATCAATGAATGTTAATTTCAAATGACACATTTTGTATAAAATTTCTAAGACAGAAAATTTCTGCCAGGCAATCAAAATTAAAATAACCTGCCTTCAAAAATAGAATATTTTATTCTCATATCTCCTGACCATTTAAAATATGTCTGTGAGCTGGAAACCCCCTGCACATGCAGTGGTGTCTGGGGCAGGTCAGCTGTGTGCAGCCTTGCACAAGCCTCCCACTTCCTACAGCTCTGGTGTGGTGCACCTTCTCAGTCTGCCCATCACAGCTTGTCACACCACAGCTTGGAAGGTGGACCAGAGCACTGCAAGGACCAAAGGAGCCCGCTATCAGATACACTATGAAGCTTTTAATTGGTGTACTGTCCATTTTCAGCACTAAACATTAAAACGTTTCTTCTATAGACCCAGAGAGGGGCAGAGGGCAATGTACAGGTAAAAGAAATGGTTTTATGGTAATGAAAAATATTTGGTGAAGTGCTCTGAATAAAACAAAGAGAAAACCCTAATTTAATGTTAAGATAAATATTAATGTTTAATATGAGGTGATCTAAACTGAAATATAATTCCACCTCTCCAGAGGTGACCTTTTTGTGTTTTTGATCAGAACAACACATTTCACTTCTGACTCTTTCTGTTCCAAACTAATACTGCTTTCCATTTTGCGGTTTCCCTACCCTTCCCATGAGTATAGCCTCCTTTGTTAACTGAATGGCAAGATCTGTGTCTCACAGTCACAGTGTGTGCATTACAAAGCAAGGAGCTTCTCCTTTTTTTTTTTTTTTTTTTTTTTTTTTCCCCGGAAATCTACAGGGAGTTTAAGTAAGTCAGCAGTGAAGAAGAGTTTCAAAGGGTTTAGGCATGAAGCAGGAATCTGACTCCTTACCATCTCGAGACATTCCCAGGGCAAGACATTTCTGCAGTCGGCAGTGTTGGCAACGATTTCTGTTGGTTCTGTCAATTAAACAGTTTCTCTGCCTTGGGCAGGAGTAGGAGGCATTGTTCTGCTGACTCCTCCGAAAGAATCCCTAGGGGCAAGAGAGACAGAGTATTACCATGGGCATATATACGTGCATGTGCATGCACACACACACACACAATCATGTAAATTACTACAATAAACTCTTATTTAGTGCAATCCTACTTATGCTATGGCCTTGCAGATGTGTTGGCCTTGTATACGGAAATTAAAGAACATTTATTTATAATAAGAATTGTGTTTTATTCTGTAAAGAATGTAATTCTACTTTGTTAACATGCAAATAATAGCTACAGAATGCATTCTTATTGTGCAATAAATACCATGTATCATCTAATGATTGCTCCTAACAGAAGAAAAGCTTGTCAGCATTCGTAAACAGATGACTTAAAAGTACTTGTTCTGACTATTTTCTTCCTTTAATGAAAGAGAGTGGTAATAACTGGCACTGGCTATGCATAGCATTGGAAGCTGAAGTGTGCTGTCCAATTTAACCTGGCAAATGTTGATCTGATCTGGAGGAACCATACACTTCAGGAGTGAAAAGTAATTCAAATTGAAACATCACAAAAGCACTAGGATTTAATGACTGTATCAAGTAAAACCAACACACAAAGGAGAAAGCAACACCTTCAGACACTACCATGAGAAAGTAATGACATTTTCCATTTCAATGGAATATAACATTATCCATTTTATCTATGTAAAAATTTGTAGTTATTCTATCCCCTAGAAGGTTTTTCTGGCCAGTTGTAGGCTATTTGGCTAAAGATCAGAGGGCTAGAAGGAGAGTATTAACCCACACCTAAGGCCTTACAAGCTCCCAGCTGCTACGAATGACAACACTGAGAGGTACTGTTATGGTGGAAGTAACATGAAATGGCAGAGGTGACAAGAGGAACGAAACAGAGAGGAGGGGATTAGAGAGAGAAAGAGAGAGGGAGAAGGCATTTTATGATATTCTTTTCTTTCCTGTAAAATAAAGGACAGGAGTTAACAGCAAGTCCAGAGAGAGTGAGAAACAAAGAAGAGAAGTTCCTTGACCACTCTGGCATCTTTCAATGTAGACAGCTTTAGGGTTGTGTGGTGGGAGAGTTGAAGGATAGCCTAGCCACCACAGGAAGCCATGAGGAGGAAAAGGGCAGAAAGCATCATTACTGCAGTTACTCTAGTCATCAGAAATTGTGCCAAAGTGGTCATGCCTTTCTGTGATGGTTTGCAAACACCTCTGAATGTAGCCAGAGTTGACTTCATTCATCAGGCAAAACAAGTGCTATCTCCACACAGGCTGACAGATGGTAATATAGAGCAATGGAAATCACGGCAGCTGTGCGTTTTGGAGGAATGAGAGGGGGGAAGCAACAAGGCAAAGTGTCACAGAGCTCAATTTTCTTGCTACAGGTAGTGCCTGAATTCTCACTCAAGTCCTGGTGAACCCAGCGAGGATCGTGTGGGTTGTCAGTAACAACAAATATACCAGTGGTTGTAGTTCCTGAGGTCGAACATAAAGAAATTCACTTCATCTGACCTGTGCTGATTTTATCAGTGCTAACAGTGTATCTAAAAACTAAATTAAGTTTTATAATTTGCACTTTTGAGAACATGGATGCTATTTAGGGAACTCTCAGAAAAAAATCTGGTGGGGACTTATCTGATCCTGGCTGACCAAAACTTTCCTGAAACTGTGGAGCTTAATTTAAGGCTAAATGGACACTAACTGCAGATATTTCTACTCTATTTGATGAATTTTACAGCCAATGTTGGTTTCAATGTGCAAAGGATTTTCTCGTTTAAAGGTTTAGATTTTAGCAGCTCCTATGTGGATATGGATTTGAGAGAACAAATGAATTAAATAGCATTAAAAGACCCCACACAACCATCTAGCACTGACTGTGCCTTATCCTGTAGTGCTGTTTTTTCCCATTAAGGTTGATCTAATCACAGAAGAGTTTGTTTCTTCTGTGCCCCTCTTAAGAAAAAATCATGGGTTGCATAATAAAATTAATCTGCAGCAGGTAATTTATTTTTCCAAGGAGACTTTTGTACTCTCTTTCTCCTGCATAAGATCTAAATGTTGTCTTACAAAGTACAGACAATCCTTTCATTTAATTTTTAGGGGATCTTTATGTAGCATTTTCTATATTTACCAAGAATAATTCCATTTGAGGGAAGGAGGATGCAGTTCATTACTGATGAGCTAGGGACTTAAAGATGGGTTTCCCAGTATTCCCAACACTGACAACAAGTTTTTCTGTATCTTTAAAAAGTCACTTTATCCATTACCAACAGTCAGTCTGAGAAGGGAAATGGCCATGCAAACTACTGTCTAAATAATGACAAAACAGTGGTAGCAAATACTTTGCTCTAGGGGTAAGCAGGAGAGATGATAAAAGGTTTCACAGCAAAAGAAGGAGCCACCGAGACAGACAGGATGGAAACCTGTCTTCAGGTTTCACCCTTTCAACAGTAGTCGCAGAGTCATCATCTTCTTCAATAGGTCCAGCAGGTTACTTAGCATATGCAGGCATGCACATGAAATAGCAATAGTATTTATGATGCCCCTTAAGCACTTATAATATGCATTTGCAGTGGCATAGCTAATGTAGGGACACAGATTTAAAGGATTTGCTGTCCCTTGAAGTTTGTAACACTGCCACTGGCAGTACAATCCTTGGATGTTGTGTCCTGAAATGCTGTGGCTCTCAGCAGCAGGTGTCTGTCTCAATGTGTGCATGCTTGTAGAGTGGTTCTTTCTTCCAAACATGGTCTGCCTCTTAATTAATTCAGATTTCTAACACATTCAGACAAAAATAACCCAAACTGACTAGTTATTAGTATGTGAGCTGAGCAAATATTTATTTGATTGCTGGGCAATAAGAGCAGAGTTGCACTTTCTGAGACAGCGCTTACCTTAAAAGAGAGTGAGATGCCTCCCATCGGACCCTATGTGAAAACTGACATCTTTTTTCACAACAGTCTCACAAAACAAGATTAGACTAATTGATCTGATACTGCAAAACTGGCACAAAAACAAGAGGGTTAAAACTGTCGTAAGTGGAAGAGAAGCTCTTTATCTCAATAAGCAGTCTACACACAGAGCTGAGGGGTATCATCTCCTCTCGAGGCACACACAAGGGCCAGCATTAACCCTAATCACATCTACAGGACACTCTACCCCTAACTGGTCTGTGGGCACTAAGCACAAAGACAAGACACTGGTTTTCTGCTTAAATAATTTTTTCCCTTGTAGTTTTTGTGACAATTTTGAAGTATCAGATCAATTGGTCTTATTCTGTTTCATGTGATCATCATCATAAGATGTTTATTTCTAGTCCAGAGCCACAATAAGACACTGACACACTGTGGGTTTTTAACAGTTGTTAACGTTTCTGAAAGAAATCTGCTCTTTGACAATACATTGCTTCTCAATGTGTTGGCATTAAAAGCTTTCTCTTGCGAATGGGTGCACACAAATTTTCAGATTTTTCAGACGTTCTAAAATTTTGTAAAGCATTATGTAAATACAGACTTGCCATTTCACCCACTTTCAAATGTACTATTTTTTGTTTCCACATAGAAGAAATCAGAGATGCTGCCTCTCCAGCTTTATAATTTCACATTCACAGTCAAAGCTAAAATACCAACGTATAGTATGAAGTTCTGGTTTTCCATGAGTAATGAGATAATTCCTTAGACAATAAAAATCACAGAGTATTTTTAAAACTGAAAACTAAAGCCTTTCTGCTGTTGGCTTAGGGTCTGATCTGTGTTACTTGAACTAATACCTGGGATAGTATGTCAATATAACTAAGCATCATAGGAGAGTTTGTAACTCTTGTTTTTTTTGGTTTTTTTTTTTTTTTTTTTTTTTTTTTTTTTTTTTTACCCTCCAATTCCCATCAATTGCTCTGTGCTGGAGCCTATAAGGAAGAAGACAAAGGATCCTTTTACACTACTCATAATGCAAGGCATTTTTTTCTTTTGGAAATTACAATTCGGCCTGCAGAGAATACAAAAGGAATAAAACAGGACCAAACTGACACCTGTAAGCTTTTAAGATGTTGAACTGAGATACTATGCCAATTTTTAGTGCTACACGGACTGTATAGGAAACTAGATAAGAAATCCATCTCTCAAGTTGATTTAAGGTAGAACAGGTGGGACTTACAGTTGTCAGCCTCTGCCTGTATCAGCACCTATACTGCATCAGATGCAGTATAAATATATTAATTTATGTTTCAAACAAGAAGGTAACTCCAAAGAGTATTTGATGAAAAGGAAAGCAACTAGTAAAATTAGGCATGAAACGCATTTTTATCAGCAGCAGGCTTTACAGCCTTTGGCACAACTGCTTGAAAGCCGGTAAGAGTGTATTATTGTACACAGATGCCTGAGGCTAATGCAGATGCTGATGACTATGCTGTATTAAAATCTCATACCTTGCAGCCTTCACATGTGATGACTCCATAGTGTATTCCAGAGGACTTATCACCACAAATTTTGCATGGTATCACTTCAATTTGCGCTGAAAAAGAAAACAACACAAATATTTTGAGTATGTAATTCTATTTCATTTATTTTTCTCAAATAAAGATTTTAAAAGCTAGAGTTTGACAGCAGATAACCTGTTCACCCCCCTGACAATATAGAACCACTTTGTGTTTCTGTATGCTTTGATTTGGCAAATTTTAATTGCTTCACATTATGTAGTTTCTACCATAACCCTCAAAACTCTTTAACAGTTCAATATACCTCATGATTAGCAAGTTTTTCCTCATATTCTCCTTTTTTACTTGTCAAGTTCATCATCACTATTGCTAATGACAGTCATTAGGGGTCCTAAATAATTATCTAGATTATGCTTGCTTATACATTTCAAATATTCATGACTTTTCACTTTGCTGAGGTAGGACTACATGGTATATTTTGATGCATTGTTCAAAGCAGTAGAAGTGATGAAGTTTTCATATCTTTCAGATTATGGCTTCAAGACACACTGGCAGAAATGGACTTGCAAATGACTGCTTAACCTCTCCTTCTCTTCAAGCTATTTGTTTCAACACCAGGTCATGGGCAGACAAAGCCCACAGACTGAGTTTAAGTAGCCAGTAGCTATGTGCTGGGAGAGGCAGGTACTATCTGAAAATGTCTGAATACGGTTATGCTTAAGATCCTTTTCTAAACATAGTGGTCATTTAATTCAGAGAACGAAAATATATTTCACTATCTTCTGTATATTTTTTTTTTGCTAACATAGCTGTTTGCTTCCCTCAAATACTTTTAATCCTGTGTGTGTTTTCTTTGACAATGCTGTAAGAGTGCATACTCTGAAATGTAGGGAAGGAATGTGCCTCTATTCTAGTCAGCTGTGTCAAGAAGAAATGGAAAACCTATTTTCTTTCCCTTTCATTTGCATTCCTACATGGGATGCATGCCTCCTTGCGATTCTCCTGTCACATGGAAGTAGCATCATACTTGGTAAGGATTAGTACTCCTGGCACGTCTTTCCTCCACACCCAGGGCAACAGCAGCAGCAGCGCTCTGCAACACAAGTCACTCATCAAATTCTTGGGTAGCAAAGCTGAGAGCTTGTGTAGTAGGGCTAACCTGAGCACAAGGATTGCTAACTGTTAGTACTTTATCTGGACACATTGAACTTCAAAATGGATTGGGAGACAGGGAAACAAGAGCATTCCACTTCACACCTGTGGGCAGCTGAAAAGATTTTAAGTGCTGGAAAAAAACATACTTAAAAATGACTGCACATTGTAAGCTAAGCACTAAGCATGCTTGTACAGTGAATGCTCTAACAAGGTAATGATATAGTCTGCATTTTGCCCCATTTCTATGTATGGTTATCATTTATCACTTTTAGCAGAAGCCAAGAGGTTTGTAACAGTTGACTTGCTATCACCGTGTGATTAAAAAACCAAAACTCAGAACTGTGTCCTGCCGAGCCACCACACATCGTACTGAGAGGTGCACTGCATCCCCTACTCCCCTTTCCCCCTACTTAGGGTAGAGGCTTACCAAGTTAAGATCCACAAGGTGAATGTTAGCAGGACTTCTTGTCTAGAAAGTCAAGTAACTATTCTTGGGACACCATATCCCAAAACAACCACGGAAGAGGGACATTCATGGATGGCTAAAGATACTTTAGTTTCACACTATGAGCTCAGTTTCCTAAGATTCTGTCTCTGATCAAGCACATTTTCAGGCAAGGTTTAGTCAAGGAAATCAGGTTTTAAACTACTCCTAAACCAGGATAGATAGAATTAATTTTATTGTAGGAAACAGCAATTTGTTGTTAATATATTCTGGATAGAGACAACCTAGACCCAAATTTTTGCCTGTCTTTGCTTTTAAGAAAGTTCATATTTAGAAATAAAATTTACTATGTCATCCACAATTTTTGGGTTAGTTTCTGTAACCTGTTTTGTTTTCATGAACTTAAGTGGTGGTAATTTCTTTCCCTTTTTAAGAAACTAATAAGCATTAGCCATCCTGACATGATAGATGCATAAAAAAGAAGGCAATTCCTTACAGAAAAAGCATCTGCTGTTCCTTGGCAATTTTGCCAGGTTGATCTTGCTCAAAAATTCCTATGTCTTATCCCCATTGAAATACTGAAAACATTTAAACATGCACCTCAGTTACTGATGTTTGAGAGGCTAGTCTGAGTTATTGCTCACAGGTCTCTGCTTGTAAGTCATGTGGAGGGAGCAAGGCTCAGCTCTGGGATCACATGCTGCTTTATGTTGACAAGCCTCAAAGACAGATGTCAATGTCAGAGGCAGGAACTACAGTGAGAATGTGAGGACATCTTCAGGAAAAGACAAGACAAAGGAAGAAAAAACACCCCAAACCAGTATGCAGGTACTTTTAATGTAACTTGCATATGCAGTTTGTAACTGCTATAGGAACAAAGACAGAAGAACTCACTGTGTGACACTGCATTTAGCACAGTACTCATTACTGTGAACAATCAATAATTCCATGCTTGACTTGCAATTATAAGCACTATGTTCATAGTAAATATTTGTGAACCGGGTCACTAAATGCTAAGGCTCCATGTTTCGATTAATATGAAATAAATACATTACACTTGCAACTCATCAGTTAATTCCAATGCTTATTCAAAACTAACCATCCTATAAATTAAATACAGGATGTCTAAGAAATTGCTACCATAGCTCCTTAGAGAGCTCATAGAAAAGGCAGGATCTTTAGAACACAGAAAGCATTTGAAGAAGTTTGGAAAAGTAGACTCTGCTACTGTCTCCTAGGCATTTCTTTTTGTTCATAAGATAGCAGAACATTTTAAGGATTTGTAACAGAAAACTTGAATCATTAATTGTACAGGCCAGATGAAAAAGAAGCCACTGTATTCCCAGAAACCTCTTGAATTACTGTAATTAACACCCAGTGTACCAGGTTTCTTTTGCAGATTTAATGATTGTCAGAGGCTACTACACCTTTCTCACATTGTATCTTTGTTCAGCCGCCTATAATTTTATGTTGTGGGGTTTTTTGTTTTTGTTTTTTTTTTTTTTTCTTCCTTCTTCTTTTCTCCTCTTAGACTAACAAACAATTTAGGGATCTGTATATTTTACATCACTTTAAGTGGGTCACTTCTGAATTCCTTAAAAGTATAAAATGCATTGATTCAGTACTGCTTCCTGAATATTGAGGCAAAAATGGAATGAACTAGTAATAATAGAGTTGCCACAATGATAACTTTCAGCAGAACAGGAAGCAAACCTTTTTTTTCCCGGTGTAGTAAACCTGAGGAAGGAATAAAAGCAAAACTACTTATCTCTACTTTTAAAGTCCTTCTACTTGCTTTCTTACCCATCAACTTTAATAAAGTGAGTGAGAATAATGGCTCCTGCTTCTTTTCAATCAGTAACACACGTCTCAACTGTCCTTTTGTACATTTTTTTAACAAGTACATCCAGTTTCATCTTGTCTTGAGATACAACACTCAATAAAAGCCTGCACCACCATCACCCTGATGTCTAACAACACATTTATAATGTTTGAATATATGCTGCACTGTGATTGATCCTTATCACCAATTGAAGCTTCTCTCATCAGTACCACAGGGTCATCCCATCTCTCAGTGGTATTCATAATTTATTTTATACTTAGGTTTAAAGTCATTTGTAGCTGGGAACTGCCTCTAGTTTTATATGGCACCCTACAAATTAGAATGCTTCAATGGAAATTAATTAATTCTACATGACTGGTAATAATAATCCACAGATGCTGGGAGTATCACCTAGAACCTAATTCATTCTCTCAGGACAACAGGGGGTTGAATTCTATTAAGGAAGCAAATAAAAAAAATCATCTCACACATTTGAAATGAACACTTGGATAAAAGCAAATATGTACTTAAAATCATCTTCAAATCAAGCATTAGTTATTTTCTCAAATGCTGTCCCAAGAGAAATAAAAAAGTACATTAGGCCGCTTTTTTTCTCTTTTCTTTTTTACCAACAAAAATTTACTCATGGGTACAAATTCATTATCCTAAAAGCAGGGCAATAATCAGGATTCAAGAACTTTTATATTGGTGAAATTAGAAATAAATCTGGAAGGAGACACACCGTTAATTTGCTGATTCCTCTTGAATGAAACGTAAGAGTCAACAAGGCAGCTAATGTGTCCATTGTGTATTTGTGAGGACTGCCACTCACATGCATATGTTGTCTAACAAGAAAAAGCAAAGCTCATGTTTTATATAATCTCAGTTTAACATCTGAGGAATTTAAATCAGGAGACACAGGACTATAATCTCCCAGACCTGTAGCTTTGGTTCCAAGGGGAAAAAAGGCTTGAGCTTTCAATATTTAGTTCTTGATCAAAAGATGATACAAAGCATGCTGGCCATGAACTTTGAAGAGGAAGTCCTCTCTCTAATTTGTTGATTCAGGAGGGATTGCACTTGGAAACATCAAGGCTAATCAGAGAACCAACAGCAAAAAAAGCAGCTCCTTCACCTTCCAAGAATTCCCATCATCATTTAGCTGGAGTTCTTTGAAAAATGCTAGTAGATTGGCCAAGTTCACTTTCATGTTTGTGTCCCTAAGTGATTTTAAATTAACTATATTCAGCATTTTTATGTAGTTGCCAACTCTGCTTTTTTTTTTTTTTTTTTTTTTTTTTCCTTGCATATTACTGTCAAGAGAAGTTTCCACTATAAATCAGGCTGCCAACTAGATCTTGGTATTGCCTTTGTCCCTGGATTAGATATTCTGCGGCTTCACGGTAAGAATTCAGGTGCTTTGCATTTGTATTTAATAATCTGAAAATATACAACTGAGGATACTTCTTAGTTATGTTTCCAGACTCTGTTGTACCTCATGCAGTGAGAGCTACATAGTTAGCAACATCTCAGCAGCTAATTAATGCCAGCTAATGTTAATTGATGTGTCTGTAGATACATTTGCTGTCAGACATACCCCAAATGAGCTGTTACAGTAAGCAGAGATGATGGAATTCACCCAGGAAACCAAAATT